CTCTCCCACGCTAGTGAAGAAATGGACTGAATGTATCACGTGAGCTTGTTTGACCAATCACCGCTCGAGTTCTGAACTGAAGTGTATAAATATGAGGCGGTTGCCCATAGAGACGTCCGCCATTGAAGACTACTTTTCAACCTCCTTGATATTGTTAAAACCGTGCATAGTTTTTTTTATTATTTGTTAGCAAACTAAAAATAGCAACATTTTTATCCACCGCATCATCGGCGACAGTTTCATTGGGCATCGTTCCAGCAGAACACGGCCGGCAAAGAGCGTCTGTCTCAGTTCGGCAGTAAAAACAATCTTGTTGTGCCAGAGACGGAAAGGTAAATGTGAAAAGAGGTCCGGGATATATATCCAACACATTGCATTTAATCAGCTGGTTATTTTCAGTGTATCTCCTTATAACGTTGAAACGGAAGGCGTGTGTGGGGGGGAGCTGTTTCAAGTTTGAGCGGTTGGCCTCCTTTTTGTGTGGGCCCTTGACACGGAAATCGTTTCCTGTCACCATTTTGTTACGTAAGCTAACTAGCATTGCTAACAAGCTATAACTAGCCAACTAAGATTCGCTTTTCACATTCAGTGCAAAAAATCGCCATGTTTAGGAGTCAAGCATTAGCGACATGAGGTAGAATTTGATATTTTGTAGGCTGGGCGAAGCTTTCGAGTTTGGGGACGAATGTCGCGTTGTTAATCTAGCTCACGCGCTAGCCACATTTCGGTCCAACCATGTTAATTGCGTGATGCAAGCGTGGAGTTGACCAATGATTCGCAAAAACTATAGGTAACGATTGTAACGTTAACTAGAAATTAACATTGTTAAAGTCGAAGTTATTTAACGAACTAGTCTGCTAATTATTATTGTAGTTGACTAAGGTTGGCTAGCTGGCGATGTACAGCAGGGGTTAAAGTTCTCCGTCACTGCGACGGATTTCCGTCATGGATTCTGAAGAGGTCGTTTTTTCAGTGTAGATCCGCAATATAAATATCAGGGGGGGTGGTTTGGAGATTTGCATTACATTTTAGTAATTTAGCAGACGTTTGGCTGCCTATTACCTACATAAGCATGTCTGTTCTACTAGATATATTACAAAACGCGTGTCTTCTCAAATATTTTATTTTCTGTTACGCTGTGTGCACTGAACTGACATGCATGTTTTTTCTGACACTCCTATATTCAGATGAAGGCATTTAAATAGTCTATAACGCGCACCACTTCGATGCTGAACTCAAACAGCGGTGTGTAAGAGTCAATTCATGCTTGATCCGAAAATGTGGTCGGAGATGCTGTATGGATGGTGTGGCGCAAATGTGGAACCACCGGAGGCACGCAGAGGCCAAATTGAATTCAGACGAACAGCTTCGCCATGTGCGTCTGAAATGTTGTAACAATGCGGAGGGCTCAGTATAGTTCCGCATTGACATGATTTGGTTGACGGTAGGTGAGGGCGAGATGTCCTGTATGAACTCTTAACTTCCTTCACAAAAGCTCTGTGCTGTTCTGCGATGCACAAGAAGTATGCTACATGGCCATTGCAGACGTCAGAATGACCATGTAGCGCCTTTAAGGCCTCAATCACACTGACCGTGTTTTGCATTCTGGTACATAAGAAGTACGTTCATTTCCAATGGAACGCTGCGTTTGCCTTGCAGCTTTGCTTTGCGGTGCATCAAACTTAATGGGTAGATGGCTTGACAGAAATGTTAGCAGAAGGCGAATGTTGAACTTTTGTTGCATACATACCATTTAGCGCATTGACGTGATCGAGGCGTTAAACACATCTCCAATCTTTGTTGAGATCTGATATTCTGCGCAAGACGAGACGTAGGCCAATGTCATAGTCCTATCTTCAACATCACATTTCTTAAATCAGGATAAATTTAAGCTAAACTTGGGAGGACAATTGGGACTAACTACTTACAAAAAGCGTGCTTCTGACAGAGCTTCAAAAGTTAATAGCTGTATTAGACTGAAAGATATAAGGTAATTTCGTCAAACCTTAGGCTCTTCATGCTCATTAGTTGCTTTTAACATATTTTCTGGTACTTCACTCTATCCTGTTTTAAGTCTCCCTTCCTAACTGTTTTACATTCCCTGAGAGCTGAGACCAACCAGCAATGTATCCGTGGCCAAATATTCCCAGATTTTCATAAAAGAGCCCCACGTGGACTCTCGTTTCTGCATCACCAAATGTTGCATGAGGCAAAAGAGTAGGCTAGGTGCTTTTCAATTATCTTGTTTGGTGAAGCAGGGGTGTAGTACTGCTGGAGTGCACTCGCCACTGCTCACAATGGTGCTTGTTTAGTAAAGTAAGATCAAAGCTGAATAAATGTATTGGAAGATCACATAATGATTCTACATAACAGAACCAAATATAATAGCATAGTGTTACTGTTTACACCACCTCATTTCTTATAAGATTTTAGGATGGTTAGCTGAATAGTCCCTAAAAAAGTTAATGTAGACTACACTGTCCTGCAAAATCATCCTCTTGTCCTGCATTTGGGTATTTTAAATGCACAACAGAACTCTTAAAGGCGCAATGGTGTCTTAAAAGTGCAATGACACACTTTGTAATAGAAACAAAAATAATATGTTTTTTGAGTGCATAACGAATGATAATATACCCTGTGCATGGTCACATACACATATTTAGCAGATGTTATTGCAGGTGTTGTGAAATTCTTGTGTTCCTAGCTCCAACAGTACAAGAGTATCTAACAATTCACAACAATACACATCTAAAAGTAAAATAATGAAATTAAGAAATATATAAATATTATGTTGAAATAATTTAAACACTTTTACCAATATGTTATTGGGCCCGTTTCTGGAGTTGGAAATTATATTTTAGATTGTCGGCATCATTTTATTTTCATTAATTTTGGAGTAAATGGCCTGTTTTAAAAGGTCACCAGAACTGAGCTTCTAAGGGACTTCCCAAGGATTCCAATAGCACAGACCCTGGCCTGATGGCTAATGATGCCAACTAGTTACTCCCATGTCTACCAGTAGAGGGCAGTCAGAAATTGCACAGTGATGCATTGTTGTTTTTCGTGGCTGTGGTAACTAGTGAGTAAACAACCGCATGTTTAAATGATAAAATGCACCTATATATCAATCACTTCTCACATGTAATACACACATTCATCTGTAACGTTAGGTTCTTCTAGTAAATAAAAATGCATGAAGTTGTTTTTCTTTCTATTCAGTCCAGAGCTTAAGTTTTGCACCCCCAAAAATGTTTTGTTCAGTATTAGCTGCATGTATTTTTTTTATAACATACTACTTAATTATCTAACATTAGGCAATGTTAATTGTAAACACATTTTAGTCTTGTTATGAATTGCATTTTCTAATGTTTATTTTTAATGTTTATTTTCTGTTTTGTATGTCCTTGGGAGGACAAATTATAGTTTATCTGTAAAAGTACACTGTATTTATTGAAAGAAAAAATAAACTGCCTAGAAATATCAACATAACTTGTAATGTAAATTCTTTGATTGGGTATGGGCAAAAGTTACATCTCATTTAATGTGTACCTTTTTTGGAAGATTGCAATATTCTTGATTGGATAAGTGGGTAACATAGGCATCCATCTGTGCCAGCACGTATGTTTTTTTGTGACCTGTTAGCTACCAAGTTTGAATTTCAAGATGGTGAATGACACTAAACGTCCCCTGCCTACAAGTCTGTTGGAAGTGTTTTTCTCATTTTATGAGTGAAAAGTTGAAAACGTTTGACTGATTGGGCATTTCCCAGAGAAATTGGGCCGATAGTTTACTGTATTATGGACAGCGTAGTTTGTTCGTATGTTATGTAATTCATCTTATGTTGAATCATTTTCATGGCTTAAAGTTAGGTACTTTATGAATGTTTTTGAATGGAATAACAAGGGGTTAAGTTGAATCATCATACAAATATGTAATAGCCATTTTCCTGGAATATAACATTGAGACTGTGATGCAGAACCTTGAACTTAGTGACTATTTTCTATTTTTTTCTGCGAAGTGAAGAGGCCTAATGCTTGATGCCTAGAATGTTGCTACTTATTTGAGTGTAACTAATTGTCCAAAATGTTTGACTGAAAACATAGATGCTTACAAGTTCATCACTTGGCATGGTGCTTTGTAGAGTCAATTGATACGCCCATACTTTTCATAAGACCATTTGGTTGGATGGTAGAGGAGAGGACTGCTCACAGAGGGGCTTTGCTGTGGGTTCTGATGGGAGAATTAGTACAAATATCTGCGGTTTTGTTTGTCAAGCCATATTCCTCTGACATATTTACATTTTAGTCATTTAGCAGACGGTCTTATCCAGAGCGACTTACAGTTAGTTGAGGTAAGCAAATTTGGAGCTTTAGATGCCACAACATTGGACATCAGAATTGTAATGTTGCCTGTAGCCCAAAATAAACAGTTCCAGTAGGTGGCAGTAGAAATCAGTTCTGAATAGCATAGGATTAATTGTTTGCTTTTTGTAGTTATGTTTTGCTCGTAATTTTATTTTGTAAAACTGTTTTTTTTTTTTGCACAAAATCGCCACATCAATGTGCCTGTATGGCGCCGTCTATGGACACACTGGTGTACGATATGGCAGTGATGGGTTTACCTATTGGGCTTTCAGAGCCATCTTTAATTTTATGCAGATGGTATTTTCAAGGCTGTGTTTTTTTTTTAAATTGTGGCTGAAGCCTTCCCATCTTAATAAAACGGTAAATTCAGCAACTTTATCACCATGGCAGTGTGATTCTGCTCTGGATATTGTACCAGGGGATCAAAAGGGGTTTTGTCATTATTATTATTATTATTATTATTATTATTATTATTATTATTATACAGTTATCTATAGAGAAATGCACATCCATGCTGAAAATCACCCCTCTCTTTCAGTAGTCTTGGAGGAAGATGTGTGATGAGAGCTGAGCTACGGAAAATAAGTGTCGCTCTGAACTGCTACCCGTGTCTACTGCGCTTCGGACTGCATCACGATGACAGACGCCAAATGCCCCTCGATGTCCAGGGTGGGAGGCGTGAACCCTCCTCCGCCGAAGTTCAAGAACCCAAAGAAGCCTGGTCGCCTCACCAACCAGCTGCAGTACCTGGAGAAGGTGGTAGTCAAGGCCCTGTGGAGACACAACTTCTCCTGGCCTTTCAGGACGCCTGTCGATGCTGTCGGACTGCACATTCCAGTGAGTCTCACTTTTTGTTACTTGCAATGACTTTTTATATATGGTTGTTTTTCCTTACTATACTGAACAAAAATATAAACGCAACATGCAATAATTTCAAAGATTTTATTGAGTTAGTTCATATAAGGAAATCAGTCAATTGAAATAAATTCATTAGCTCCTAATCAATGGATTTCACATGACTGGGCAGGGGCGAAGCCATAGGTGGGCCTGGGAGGAGCCAGGCCCAGGCAATCAAAATGAGCTTTTCCCCACAAAAGGGCTTTATTACAGACAGAAATACTCCTCAGTTTCATCAGCTGTCTGGGTGACTGGTCTCAGACTATCCCGTAGGTGACTAAGCCGGATGTGGAGGTCCTGGGCTTGCGTGGTTACAGATGGTCTGCGGTTGTGAGGCCGGTTGGACGTACTGCCAAATTCTTTTAAAATGACGTTGGAGGCTGCTTATGGTAGAGAAATTAACATTCAATTCTCTGCCAGCAGCTCTGAGGGACATTCCTGCAGTCAGCATACCAATTGCACGCTCCCTCAATTTGAGACATCTCTGGCATTGTGTTGTGTGACAAAACTGCACATTTTAATGTGGCCTTTTATTCTTACCAGCACAAGGTGCACCTATGTAATGATCATGCTGTTTATTCAGCTTCTTGATATGCCACACCTATGTAATGATCATGCTGTTTATTCAGTTTCTTGATATGCTACACCTGTCAGGTGGATGGATTATCTTGACAAAGGAGAAATGCTCACTAACAGGGATGTAAAGAAATGTGTGCACCAAATTTGAGAGAAATAAGCTTTTTGTGTATATGGAACATTTCTGGGATCTTTTGTTTCAGCTCATGAAACATGGGACCATCACTTTACATGTTGCGTTTTATGTTTTTGTTCAGTGTAAGTTGAGTGCACTGACCAAGTTGCTCTAGGTAAGTGTCTGCTAAATTACTAAAATGTAATTGTCAAATGTTTTATTTTACTTGTTTATTTTTCTGCATTTCCTCCATGCACGTCCATCATGGCCACTTAAGAATCTTAACTTTTGTATTTAACAACTTCCCATTGTTTCTCTATTTTAGGATTACTATACAATTATCAAGACGCCAATGGACTTGAGCACCATCAAGAAGCGTCTTCAGAATAATTATTACTGCAAGGCATTGGAATGCATACAGGACTTCAACAAACTCTTCACCAACTGCTATGTATATAATCGGGTAAGGATTTTTTATTTATTTATTTCATAATCGTGTTGTATTCATTCGCCACACACCAGTAGTGTAGGCCTACATGGTCTCCTATTGAATGACAGAAAGCGCAATAATTGTGATTACATTTTTTCCAGCCTGGAGATGACATAGTTCTGATGGCCCAAGCCTTGGAGAAGATCTTCCTACAGAGAGTGGCTGAGATGCCCCAGGAAGAGACTGAGATATCTGACATCACAACCAAGACACCAGTGAAGGGTGGGAGGAAGTCCTCCTCTGCTGGTAGGCTGCACCAGCTGCTTAATCGTGCACATACATTGTATGCGTCCCAAATGGGTGGCACCCTATTCCCTTTATAATGAACTACTTTCGACCAGGGCCATAGAGCGCTGTACTATCTTTCATGTATTCCTAGGAGTACATTCTGCCTGCTAAATATCTTCCTCTGTGTAGGTGTGGTGAAGCTGAGGCCCCAGTCCCCTGTGTCTGAGGTGGTGTTCCAGCAGACGGTGACAGTCATCCCTCCTGAGGCCCTCCACACCGTCCCCCCTGCTGCCCAGCTCTCCTCACACATAGCAGCCAAAGTCAGTACCTCTTCACAATTACCTCAGTGTGTACTGTATATATTTTGACAGCAGCTTTAACCTCTATACCACTTATACATGCCACATAAACATCGCTTTTGTAGTTTACAGAATACTTTGTAACATGTATACTGTGCAAACTCTGTTTAGTCTGTATTTTGTGATTGCATTTCCACCCTTCTCAGATAACACCCACCCCTGTTGTATTCATATCGTTTCAGATCAAGAAAGGTGTGAAGAGAAAAGCAGACACCACCACGCCGACAGCCTCTGCTCCGATCACCAGCTGCAAGTCGTCCCCCATCATTGATGGCTCGACAGCCTGTAAGCTGTTCTCCAGGCGGGGCAGCGGTCGGCCCATCAAACCCCCCAGGAAAGACTTGCCGGACTCTCCCCAGCACCACCAGAGCAAGAAGAGTAAGCTCTCTGATCAGCTCCGCTTCTGTAACTGCATCCTGAAGGAGATGTTCACCAAGAGGCACGCGGCCTACGCCTGGCCCTTCTATAAGCCGGTGGATACGGAGGCCCTGGGTCTACGTGACTACCACGACATCATCATGCAGCCCATGGACCTGGGCACCATACGGGTTAGATAGCCGTATTACACTAAACTAAACTTGTGTTGAACAAGAGAGGCTAGTTAGTATCTGCCAGGGTTACTTTGGTCTAGCTGTATCTTGTTCTCTCTTACTATTATGAAGATTACAGTATTTGTGATGACACTGAAGATGTACGTGTTTTCTCACAGAAAAAAATGGACGGACGTGAATACATGGATGCCCAGGAGTTTGCTGCTGATTTCAGACTCATGTTTTCCAACTGTTACAAATACAACCCACCCACCCACGAGGTTGTTATTATGGCAAGAAAACTCCAGGTATGATTGCCCTTGGTTTCAGCCAGTCCAGTCCCTAGAAGCTGTCTAAATAAATTGCGATGCAATAACGAAAGTACAATATGAATTAAAATAGATGGTTGGTGAGAAGGTTTGACTAGATGACATGTGGCCCCTACCCACCAGGATGTGTTTGAGGCACGCTGGCTGAAGCTTCCAGACGAGCCAGTGAGGAGTGCTGGTGATCCAGGACACCACGGTCACCACAGGGACAAGAAAGGGAGAGGAGATGGGCCTGAGAGCTCTTCCAGCACAGGCAGCAGTGACAGCGAGAGCTCCTCTGAATCGGAGTCCTCCTCTGGCACGGAGGAGGAAGAGGAGGAGGAAGAAGAGGAGGAGGCCAGAGCTCTACGGCTGGCTAAACTAGAGGAACAGGTATGTTGTGTCATCTTACCTGGGCATGCTGACATTACTGTTCTGTTACCTACTACCTTGTATCTAACTGATTCCCCCTCTCCTCCTCTTCTTTTCAGTTGAAAGCGGTGCACGATCAGCTACAGAAACTCACCCAGGAGCCCCTGCTCAAACCAAAGAAGAAAGAGAAATCAAAGGAGAGAAGAAGGAAGAAGGAAACGAGTAGTAGACCGAAGCATGAAGAAGACCTGAGGAAACACAAAGTACAGCAGAGGGGCATCAATAAGGGCACGCCTGCTGTGTAAGTGACCAATACATTGTTGATAAATTGCTCTAATTGTGTTCTAATCCCTATCCCCAGTGGGACTCCTTTTCTTCAGCCAATACACAGGATTATTATCTATTTTGTTCAAACTATTGTTGCCAGTTGCCTATGTTACTTTGAAACAAACTTCCATTGTCCTAGAGTTTCTTAATGTCTTTTCACCCCTCTGTAGGCACTGCAAGAGGAGGAGGATGGCGCTCCCAGTGGTGCCCTACAAGTCTGATGAGGAAGAGGAGCCAGCGGTGCCCATGTCGTACGGTGAGAAGAGGCAGCTGAGCCTGGACATCAACAAGCTTCCGGGGGACAAACTGGGCAAGGTGGTGAACATCATTCAGGCCAGGGAGGCATCGCTCAGAGACTCCAACCCTGAGGAGATCGAGATCGACTTTGAGACCCTCAAGCCCTCCACCCTCAGGGCCCTGGAGAGCTTCGCCATGACCTGCCTCAGGAAACGGCCCAAGAAACCCAAGCGTGAGTAGTTGTAGTACACACCTTTCTTTCTGAGCTTCCTTGGGGGTTGATAATTGCACATAATTTAGATCTCTGTACTCCTGACCAAGGACATTACCAGGCTCAAATGACATAGTTATTTTCCATCTTCTTTCTTCCAGTGAATAAGCTGGTGAAAACCAAAGGAGAGATGCAGACTGTGAAGAAGCAGGATTCAGAGAAACATCTCCAGAGTATTACTGAGGAGCCGAGCTCACTGGCCAAGAAGAAAAAGACAACCAGTAAGTAAACCCTGAAGCTGTGGTAGCATGGACCAGAGCCATACAGTGTAAATAAAGAGTTGGGCCAATGCGGTTGAACGTTCCGAGAGCGCCACTTTCTCTTCCATAGCCATTGCTAAGTGATAACGCTTTTGCTTCATGATGTTTATTTCTGATAGTTTTCAAAACCTATGAAGATGTCCATTGAAAGCAGATATGCAATTTGTTGACACTACAACACAGTAAAGACTTGGATACACATTATCCCGAATGCTAATCAATAACAACTTGTTTTGCTTGTTTACAGTGGGTCATTTCTTAGGGAACAGTCGGAGGCGCTCTCGTTTTGTTACATCACCAACGTTTCAAGAATAAAGTTCTATATGGGCGCTAATATGGCGGCCGTTCTAAAACCTGGCCTCTCTCCCTCAAATGTATATATGGCTCTGTCAAGGACCAGTGTGTCTGTGATCTAGGGGCCTTGTTGTCCTTAGGAGGGTCAGGGAATATGGGTTCTTCTATGTTTTCTCTCTACTCTCCAATAGTGAATAACTCAACTGTGCAGTGCTTGCTTCAGTCTTTCTCTCTGTTGTCCTATACGTGACAGTTGTCCCTCTCTGTTTCCCTCCAGATGAGCTCCCCATGGCTCCTGCTGTCCCAGACCTGACCCAGCCGTCCCATCTCAGTGAGGGCAGCGGCTCTGACAGCTCCAGCAGTAGTAGTGATTCTAGCACTTCTGATAGCAGGGACTCTGAATCAGGTTAGCTGTTCTCCTCAGCACTAAGCACTACCCTACCTACCCACTCCCTTTCCCCACTCTCTACACAGAGAACAATATATGGCTTAAAACCCACTGGGATTCTCTAGCCCCTGTAGCACAGAACTCCGTCACTTTTTCACCTGCTGGCAAAACCATAATACTTGAAGAAATATGAATGTGTATTTTTGTATGTTTTATTTTATTATTACGTACGCTTAGTCTGTCTATATAGCCAACTCTGTCACACAAACCTCTTCCTTCAGATTATTAGGGTGCTATATTTATGTTTAATAATGTTATTGTTTTGTTGCAGTTTCACTGAATGTATTTGACCTTCCTTTGAGGCCAGCCAGCCAGCCTTCTGTGCAAAATGTCAATTATCCAACGGGCCCCAGACTGCTGCTACCGTCCAAATCTGAAGTCAATTAAGAATAGGGACAAGTTCTTAAACTGCCCATACAGACCAGGCACTAGTTATAAGCTAAACATCTTATTTTCACTCCTACCGGTAGCTATAAATCTTTGATAAACATTGCAAAAATCAGATGGGTAGGGCTAGAGAAGTACCAGACAGCGTTACCATGCTCTTCACCCCCCTCATCTCACCCTCCATACTCTGAACCATTGCAGAGTCAAAGCTGGTCCTCATCACTATTACACTGGTTTTGATTGTACTCTGATTTTTGTACTTTCTGTGTTGGGTTTTTGCACGATTTAGTAAGGAGCAATATTAGCTTAAAACGCATACAATCTATGATGTATTTAAAGTACTCGACAGATTGTAACGTTAATGCAGACCTTGATGGAGTAGGATTTCTGCTGCACTACTGCATTTTGTAGCCAGTGCTAATGTTTTTTTGTTCCAGTTTAACCTAACATAGTTAGAATTTAAGCGTATTTGTCTTGGTGGTCAACACCTAGAGGTTCAAATAAATACATTTTGATAGACAATTTTACTGTTAATTTGTGTTTTTCTTTTCATTTTTGTCACAAATCGTTAAAGCCTACTTGACACATTTTGCTTGCAACCACAACTTAAGCTTTAACTGAAAATTGGTATGAAAGAGTAGTGATTCCAGAGTAGGTCAGTGGAATTGTTTTGGTATTATTTCAGGTTAGTGAAGTAGATCTTAGTTTTTATTTTCCAGTTATCCAACAGTGGGTAAATTAAACTACTATTGTGCCTTTCTTTCAGTGAAAAACAAAAGCAAAGGCACACCCCACAAGGTCAAGACGAAGGTAAATCTGTAACATAGGCCCTACTTCCTTTAACCTAGTGGTCTAATTCACATGGTTATACTTTCACTTTTGTGATATTTGGATGAATATACTTGAAGGTTGGAACTACAGTGCATTTTTATTATAAATTGTAAGTCCTTTCCTTCCCATCTGAAGTCTAAAAAGAAGAAATCTGTGAAGAAAGGCTCATCGTCGGAGTCTTCTCTCCAGACCAGCCAGCCCCCGCCTGCCTCTCCACCCCCAGCAGCAGTCACTAAAGGCCAGTCTACACAGCAACACCCAGCCCAGCCTCCTCTAGATCTGCTCATGTCACCCCCAGGTAATAAACGCTTGTTGCCTTCACATTCTGTGTGGGCTGTAAAGGAACTCGATGGACAACCATGCCAAGTTCTGTAACACTATCTTTGATTATTTAAAGGTGGTTGACACTGCTCTTCCAAAGTCCTTAGTGTCAGCCCTAGCTATGGAAATGCAATTTCTCCTGAAAGGAGCAGGTTTTAAGACCATGGAAAGTCGCAGGCTGGACCGGGGCCCCTGTGGAAATCACATGAGGATTGCATTTTTTGTGTTCGAGATGAAATAGCTGGAGTGCCAGGTTTCTCTGGGCAGTGTTTCTGTGTCTCATGGGTGTAGTTGATTTTAGCTATGAAGTCAGATTGGAATGGAAGCCTTGTCTTACTGTTTCTCTTGAATCTCCCCCTCCCCACTTGTCTTCAGCCTTACACAGCCGCCTGCCTCCGCAGCCTTCAAGACCTAGTTCCAAAGCGGCACCACTACCTCGCAAAAACATGGTGGCTCCCCTGCAGCTCACTGACAGTCAGCCCCAACTACAAGACCCCTCATCTGAGAGCCCTACTACCCCCTCCCTCACTCCCCCTTCTTCCTCCTCCTGTGACCCCTCCCTGACTCTAACTCTGCCCACAGACCCACTCAGCACAACACCCACCCCCACACACAAACCTCCCTCCAGCCTACTCTGTTCGCCCCGGCCCCCTCCCTCTCCCCTAGCACACCTCCCCTCTCCTCAGTGTCAGTCACCAGGCCAGACACAGGAGGTGAAAACTGGGCCAGTTTATCTCAATCCACCTGATAGGGCACAACAGGAAGGTAAGGTCTCTTCAGTCAGCTAAGCATCACCCTCCCCCTAGCTTGTAGCTGTTAGCATGTCCACTCCCCTGTGTGCTGCCTGCTTCTCAGCCCATAGCTGATCATGTCTGTGTTGTCTGTAGATGGTGTGTTTTGTCTCTTTGTTTACAGTGTGTTATAGATGCCATGTCACCATCGCTGTAGCACAGGCTGCATATCTTGTCCCGCTCTGCTCCCCATCAACTGCTGCCTGCTTACATCCACAGTGTTCGTGTCTATGTGGAGAATAATACACTGCTTTGTTTTTCTCCTGTACATCAGGTCTGTCTGCGCTGCTGTCCCCTCTGACCTCTCCTCCTGTAGGTTTCCTACAGGCTGCTGCCAGCAGATATGAGGTATGCTCTCCTCTTCCTGTTGTTGATGGATGAATTGTGACACTGGATTTAAATCACTGTTTAAATAAATGTCTCTGTCCTTGGCATTTATTAATATCGCATGAGTTGATTTGGTATATTTTTTTGGAAGGAAATTTGATTAAAATTGATACAAGTCTACAGTGTTATTTTCCTTTCTGTTGCGATTTTAAATGTGTATTTCACTTGCCAAGTCCTTAATGAGTGGAGACAGCCGGTTGATTGTGTGAAATAGCATTGGCCTTAGCCCTGGGAGTGGTAATGGAGGTTTAACACTGTAAATCTCACTTTGTGGTAGCAGCCGTGCCCAGTACTGTTGTCCCCTCTACAAGACAGCCCGTTGCAGCCTGTGAAGGATGACAGGAGGCCCTCAGAAGCACTGGAGGAGACTCACTACAGGATGCTTCAGAAACAGCCTAGTAAGCAGAACTGTGTGTCCGTGTACGCTGTGTAAATGTTTTCCTTCAGAATTTCTTTACAGAAATTGTTTTAATGGACTCTATTTACTCTGCCTCCCCAGATCCCAGACCCTCTGACAGTGTGATTGATGGTGGCAACACCAGCCTATCTCATCCAGCGAATAAAACCACTGCAGACGGAAAAAACACGCCTGCCAAAAAAGTAAGCAAATGTGAATTAAACTTAACACTACCATCATTAATTACTTGAAATACACTGTATACATGCCCATTGATGCGTTTTATATTATTTGTCCGAAAAAGGTAACTTCATTTGTGAAACTATCCTGTGTAGGATATTGTCCTGAAGAATGCGGACTCCTGGGCTAGTCTGAGGAAGATGTCCATTTCCACTACCTCCACGGTGAGGTCATCGAAGGAGAGCTTTGATAAGTTTCGCAGGGCAGCCATAGAGAAGGAGGAGCGAGAGAAAGCTCTGATTCTAAGGAGGATGCAGATGAAGGAGATGGCTTCTGGGAAGAGCAGGTATTATTCATCCATTCACTCATAAACATATTTTCTTAATTTATTCTGTAGTCTTATCAGTTTCATATCTTGTAGGTAATGCTGCCTCACCCAAAATACTCAAATAAAACAGATCTCTATCAATACGTGAGTGGTACTTGATGTGCCAGCTGACATTGTTGTGATGTGTTCTGTTCAGCCTGACTATGCCAGTATCGGTGCCAGTACCAGTGCCACCTAGAGCAGCAGAACCGGAGCCCCTGCCCTGTAGAACTCCAACCCCAGAGCCAGCAGAGATCCCCCTGCAGACAGAGGCCATCGTGGAGCCTCCGCCTCCTAAAGCTCCAGAGACTCTGAAAGAGGAGCCTCCAGCGGCTGCCCCAACCCCTCCTCCGCCCCTCACTACTCAGACCTCTGTGGACAAGGAGAGGGAGATGGCCCGCAGGAGAGAACAGGAGCGACGCAGACGAGAGGCTGTACGTTCCTTTTATCTAACCTTTTATACAGGTTATTCTCATTAAGAAAATATTTTTAACAAAATACCTCCTGCAGTTCATTGTTTTTTTTCTTCCATGTATCTTGTTATGCCAGTCATTCTTCTGTTCTTTTGTACAGTTTAATCCCAGACTGTGTAATCTCATAACCTACGTCCTCTCCTTCCTCAGATGTCTGGTATCATTGACATGACCATGCAGAGTGACATCATGGCAACGTTTGAGAAGAACCTGGACTAAACTAAAATGGCAGCAGACAGTGCAGCTTGTGACCGACTGATGTCTTCTGTTGTTGGACAACAAATAAATGAGCATGGTGTTCCAGTAGACAGCACCCTAGGCTCCTTCTCTCCCTCCAGACACTGGCTGTCTGAACAGAGCGAGCTGCATCTAAATTAAGAAAACGGGTCATTGTTGCTTTCCAAATGACAATCCTACCCCCTATATAGTGCACTACTTTGGGCTCTGGTCAAAATTAGTACAATAATAGGGAATAGGGAGCCATTTGGGACAGCCTATTACTATCCTTACCAGGGGAAGCTTGTACTGTACTATAGCAGCATCACATAACAAAACCCCAGTACATTTTAGTATTGTTGTCAACTGTAAGAAGATACTGTAAGATGTAAAATATTGATATTGCAACAAAAAAACACTCAATGGACCATAGATAGATGGTGTTTGTCTTTATTTTATTTTTATTTTTTTACTTGTGGTGATGGTGGTTTTGTAAATATCTGCTGCACTGAAGTAATGCTTACCTCTTAGAGAAAAAGAAGACTAAGTAAAAAGTTAGCAAAATGAAGAGCTGTTGAAAATGTAACTGTTTCCACCAACACGTGGAGTCCTCGCTCTGTTTCTTTTCACCTAGGTTACATCCCAAATGGCACCCTATTGCCTTTGTTGTGCATTACTTTTGACCAGGGCCCACAGGGCTCTTGTAAAAAGTAGTGCACTATATAGAGAATAGGGTGCCATTTGGGGCACTATACTAGGTGAGTCCTCCTATGACTGCAGTACACATCAAGCGGTTTACACACTTCTTAACATTCCAACTCTTTGACTTGGCTGAAATGCATAACCTGACCTTTTTTTGAGTTTGCTACACTCCCAAATAGTAATACTATTATATATATCCATGTACTGCACTGTATTGTTTCTCCAGTTATAGTGCTTATCTTCATACTTCATTCATAGTTACAATTCTGCACCTTTTTGTGGAAAAAATCTTCAATATGATGCTCTGACTTTTACAATACATGTCCTATTTGACTGACTTAAGTATAAAAATGCCTTTCTGTTCCAGAATGTGTGAACATAAAATATTTTTGTTTATCTGTATGAAATCATACTTGGTATTTTGTTACACGGAGGCTGAAGATGTCGGTCTTTGCCAAAATGTAAGTTTCAAATGTGGGACTTATTTAAAACTATACACTTTCCTTGTTTTGAGTTTCTGCTTGAAAAAGTTGAAGTGCCATATATAGTGGTGTGCTTATAGCGAACTTTAGGCATTGTTGATGCCTGCATTGTTCGCTTTTTCTAATCAAGATCCATTCCTGACTAAATGTTTTGGGAGACAACATGTAAGACTTTGTTAATGGTTTGTTTGATCCTATGGTTCTAGCTATTCTGCAGTGTTTTTTATTTCTCTGACATGACGAACAGTAGCACTTTATTCTGTATCTTGTGGTATGAGTGCATGTCATACCATTATAGAGAAAGAACTAATATAATTTTGAGAAGATCACACTAAAAGCTAAATCATAAAAAAAGATTTTCATTGAAGCACTGTGTTTTCTGTGTTTGTTTAGTGTTGAGATTTCATGGATGATTATAGAAGTGCTTGACTTGGACTGAAATAGGTTATAGTACTCATTTTGGTTGCTGGTACTGTTTATTTAAGTGAAGGAACTTCACAATACTTTTAAGCTAATATTTTATAAGAGGTGTAGGAACTCAAGCAATATAACATTTTAGGTGCCAGTACTCAGTTTGTATGTATTAGGGATCCCCATTAGCTGCTGTTCCGGTGAGCTCCTGCCCAAGTTAAGCACTAATGATCAGCCAGTCCATCAAGGAGGATATCCAGAAAGAGTCTATATTACAATAAAAAGTTCACTCAATACTGGAAAACCGAGTGCACATTCTGATCTACACACTTGCATTTGTTCAGTGACTAAGATTTGATAAATTGAACTCACTACACCTTAATTTAGTGTATATTCTTAGCAATTGTCTATATTTATTTAGTCTTACTCATGCCCTCAACTGCATGCCAATATACTGCAATAATAGCTACATACTCACTGGAAGTCAGTCCTGTACATTATTAACCTTTTTACATTCCTACTTCCCATATCAGCACCCTTGGATTGAGCAGTGGATTACAGCCCTAGGAGTCAGCGATCACCATTTCTTTCCCTTTGAGGCATTAACTGTCTTTCACCTTTAATCACAGAGAGCTCTAGGTCACAATCATGTCCCTGGATCAATCTGAGACAGGCATTTGCTTGCTCATCCACCTCTCGTATTTTGCAGTCTAAACACGTGGAAAGGGGTTTCAGAAAATAATATTTTGCAGGTGCCGCGGGGTCTCAGAAACAGCCTCTACTGTCATCACACGCACGCGTGAGTCTGACGTGCTGCTCCCCTCTTGTACATTTCATTCAGGGATCCTCCCTAGGACAGCGGCAGACAGACAGGACAAGCAGATGCGCTGTTAGCGGAGCTACGGGATAACGATGATAGATATTTCAAGATAATTAACAAAATAATAAATCAATACGTAGGTGACGTAATCTGCGTTTTACCTAAGTAATTTAAAGATGACGAGAGTGCTCCACAACTTGCTCCTGTTTACAGTCAGACTCACGCTGAAGATCCGAGTTTTAGGGTATTGGTCGTTGATATACGGTTATTGTGCTCTATGCACTGCCGTAGCGCTGCTGAAACTTTGGTGGAGCATCATTTTAAGGCCGTCAACCACCTTCCAGTGGGGAATTCGCGAAACTCCCCCTGCTTGCCTGAATGACACGTCCTTGGGAACCCACTGTTACGTTAGAATAAAGGTATGGCACACTTTACATTGCACGTGAGAGGGAGCCTATTTGGGATTGGGAAATAGTATTTTGTGTGCATGAGAGGTCTGCGAAGGTAATTCCGTATGTGCCTAGTTTGCTTGTAGTATTGAAATCAGAAATCAATCCAAATAGGCCTGCAGGCTACGTGTAAATCGTGGTGTTTCTTTTTTGGCGAATTTCAGGGAAACACTATATGCAGATATTATATTTGCAGCGTAGGCTTCTGTTATTATTCTAATCTACTGTCTCTGTATATGCGCTCACGCCGTAGTGCTGAACGGACAGTCCCCTATAACAGCAGCAGCTATAGTAAATCGTGACAAATGTCACGATTTCATATGAGTACCAAGATTAAAGGTGCTATAAACTGTAGATTAACATTTCATTTGTATTTTTTGTTGAAATGTTTATTTATGAACACAATGTCCCTTATATAGGATTCACATAGCATAAAACGCATGCTCATAATAAGAATGTGGCAGTTCAGTTGTAAAAATAATCCCCTATATTATTTGATATCCAAAGTAACCTGTGCGATTTAACTTGGTGCCAGTAAGTAGCTACATTTGGCCAGAAAACGCTTGAGCGGTACAACTAGACAATGTTATTAAATCAGAAATTAGATACAGTAAACTACAGTAGTCCATGCATATAAACCAAACAAATTAATCCACACTTTACTCAATGGGTAGACCATAATAACAACCTTTTCTACATGCTATTGCAACATAAATTCACAAGAATTTGAATAGAATTGGCTATAAATGTTAGTGACAGATTTCATAATATAAAGAATGCATCATACTGGAATGACCAGACAGAAGTCAGGCCAGGGCTGAATTTATGGGATGCCATGCTCTGTCCCTGTTCTATCCCTGCTTTACAGCGCCATAAAGCACACAGTGATGATGAGAGTTTTATGTCACAGAGAGCAGACAGTATCTACTTCCCAAATGGCATCTTATTCCCTATGTAGTGCACTACTTTCGACCAGAGCCCATAGAAGTGCACTATATAGGGAATAGGATGCCATTTGGGACGCAGACCGAGACCAGCAGACAGTAAGAGCCTACGTGATCAGGGAAGTGTTGACATCCTATAGCAGTGTGTCCCTGGTGACTGACTGATCTGTCTTCTGTCTCCTTTCTTTATTCTCAGGAGTCTGGTCTGAGGTTTCACTATGTCGCTGCTGGAGAGAGAGGGAAACCGCTCATGCTGTTTTTGCATGGCTTCCCAGAGTTCTGGTAAGACATCTAGACTAATAATAATAATAATAATAATAATAATAATAATAATAATAATAATAAGCCATTTAGCAGACTACACAGTGCATCTGCACATTATACACACATAAAGGGCCGGTGTTTCGACCCGGACACAGATTAAGCCTAGTTCTGGACTAAAAGGCACTTTCAATTGAAATTCTCAATTTATCTTGCTTTTTAGTCGAGGACTATGCTTAATCTGTGTCCAGGAAACAGGCCCATAGAGACTAAACGAATGTATTGGTATTGCCTGGCCAGTTCATTTTTGTGTTTTTATGCTGAGAAAGCATTTAGGAAAGGAGCTCCAAAACTAACCAACCAGGACCCCCATGAAACACCGACCCCATAACAGTAGCCCACTACTGTATCAATCCCACACAACAGTACTGTATCATGTAACCAACGCTCTGCTCTGCTGTACATTACTTCTGCATCATAAGACCATCTCTCAGTTGGGATCTTCATATTATGTGATTCTTCAATTACAATATTCCTATTAGACTTCATTACTTATTAGGATAGCTAAGGCTCTAAGGTTCCTCTTTCCACCATGTTTCATAAAAAATTATATGGAGCGTAGTAGTGAGGGCGACCGCTGGAATGGGGCCGAATTAAGAGGTTGTCAAGTGCTGTAAGCTAGTCCATATCTCAGGGAATTCACAGAGCTGCAGAAAGGACAGGACCAGGCTTAATTAACGGGTCTTCTTGGGTCTATTCCGCCTCACTGCCCATCAACTGCACAGGAATCCATGATGAACTGTGTCCCAAATGGCACCCTATTCCGTATATAGTGCACTACTTTTGACCAGAGCGCTATGGGTCCTGGTCAAATGTAGTGCACTTAATAGGGATTAGTGTGCCATTTTGGATGTAGCGTCTCTCTCTGCCGTGCTAGCTGGACAGACAGACTCTCTTCCACTTACGACTTTCTTCTCCTACTAAATTCAGTGTTTAAAAAGTGCTAAACCCCAGTTTACCTTATCACTCAGGATAGAGAGAGTCTTGGTGTGTGGGGGATTGGGTGCGAGGTGGGGGGCTGTGAAGGAACTCAAAGTGCCTGTGTTATTTTAAACCTCATCTATATTCTAAGATGTTGGGTTTCTCTGCTCCAGATCTGTGTCCCAAATGGCACCGTATTCCCTAAACTGCACTACTCCTCAGAGCTCTTATCCTGACTCAACAGAACCCCAGTCAGGCCTTGTGCTCCTCCTCTGTGGGGCTTTGAGCTCTGAGGAGCCTCAGCCTCCAGTCCACAGCAGATAGATCCACAGCAGACAAGATCTTCAATTAGAGAGCTTTTGCTCTCCTCTATGATGATTGAGCGGATTAGAATCGGGGGAAAAAAACATCTAATATTATACAAAGGTGACCTGCACTCAGTTTGGAAGAGAAGAAGGGAAGCTGCGTGCCAGTAGAAATAATGCAGTTTAAGATATAGCAACTGTGTAGGTATATTCAAGAGAGAAACACAGTATGTTATATAAGAATATATGCCTAGGTAGAAGTGTAAGTGGTTTTTCAGCAGTGTGCAATATACTGAATGTCCTCTTTTGATTGCCGTAGTGGAGATAGGGTTTAATTATGAAGTACTGTCCTGTGTGTGACTTTCTCATCTCATCAAGACTAAGATGGTTATTGTGTCTCTCTCTCTGTCTCGGTCCGTCTCTCGCTCTCTCCCTCTCTCTTTCAATCTCTCCCCACTCACTCACTCACTCTCTCTCTCTCTCTCTTTCTCTCTGTCTGTCCACCTGCCCCCAGGTTTTCCTGGCGCCACCAGCTGCGTGAGTTTAAGAGTGAGTTCCGTGTGGTGGCCGTTGACATGCGAGGCTACGGGGAGTCCGACTTGCCGTCATCCACAGAGAGCTACCGCTTTGACTACCTGGTCACAGACGTCAAGGACATTGTGGAATACCTAGGTAAGAGAGGAGAGTGGACAACCACATCTTTTATCTGTATTTTATATCCATGTTTACTTAGTTTATGCAGAAATACACAAGAAGACAGGTGTATGTTGTATATATGATGAAAGAAACAAAACATGCCCACTCTGATTCAGGGATGAACACTTTAGGGACCATGACTACTCGTATTATGAAACATCACTCCATGGGAACAAAGAGGGAGGGTGACACAGCCTGGTGTCCTGAGCTGAGTCAAAGTTAAACTTGTTTCTCATTGTAATACTGTGTGGACTGGACAGCCTGTGAACATCCTGTGGGCCTACAACACAGCAGGACATGACAGGCTTCGTCTGACTCATGGTGACTGACCATGGGTCGTCGTGCTGATACACACACATTACAGAGCCCCCAGCCTGCTGGGCTGGCAGCAGACAGCACAGAGCACGCTCTCTATCACTCAGTGAAACAGGAAGTATCCACTCAGACCTGGGGGCCTCTGTGTCTGTGTAACACCAGTATCCCTCACCTTGTGTCAGACTGATATTTCAAATAGCAGTAAAACTGACTATTATTTTCTTTGTAGGCAAAATATTGACCCTTTTTAAATCAACATTATATTCATCATGCCAGACTCCTGCCCAAAATACAAAACATAATCTGTCGCACTTGCACACCAGACTGGCTCAGTTGTTCCCTATACGCTGACTAAGAAGATGACTAATAAGCTGAATAATCAGGCATCACATTGTTCACATTGCACACTGTAAGAGGACTGTTCTACTTCAGGAGGTACTGTATCTTGGCAAGGAGACTCAACTCAGAGAAGATGAATGGATGGTGCTGGACAAACACACACACACTCACAGACTTACTCCATCTCTCCTCAGGTTACAACAGATGTCACTTGGTCGGCCATGATTGGGGAGGAACCATCGCCTGGTTGTTCGCCATCCAATACCCCGAGATGGTCACCAAACTCATCGTCCTAAACTGCCCCCATCCATCTGTCTTCAGTGGTATGTCCTAAACTGCCCCCATCCATCTGTCTTCAGTGGTATGACCTAACCTGCCCCCATCTATCTGTCTTCAGTGGTATGTCCTAAACTGCCCCCATCCATCTGTCTTCAGTGGTATGACCTAACCTGCCCCCATCTATCTGTCTTCAGTGGTATGTCCTAAACTGCCCCCACCCCTCTGTCTTCACTGGCACATCATAACAACCCTCTGTTTTCAAGTTCAAGTTTCAGTTTTGCAAAGGAAATTAGTTTAACAAAAAAAGTCAAGCATAAAATACATAAAAATGTACATTGACAAATGACAGGGACTACATAGGTGAATACATAGGTGGGTACACTGTGGACTGAATACACCAATCGACTAGTCCCTGATACGTCATTGTCCTGAACTGCCCCTATCCCTCTGTGTTAACTTGTACATCATCACCATCACCATCCTTAAATGAACAACAGATGAAACAGCCTACTGTATGTCACAAATATACAATTATTAGATCAATCGGATGTAAATATACAATTATTAAATCAATCGGATGTGAGAGAAACCTGCTCTTCCTCCTTGTGCTAATTAGAGAAGAGATGTTTGGCTCTGGGGTTATTAGCATGATTAGCATCTTTAATTATGAGGTATTATTACCTCCATGCAGTGTTTGCTGCATCCATCTGGTAGTTCCTCAGTCTCCTTCCTTGAGGGGAAGATGGAGGAGGTAATTATACAGTAGTGCTTTAATATGGAGCTGGAGCAGCTGGTTAGACTGGGCTGGAGGAGAGGAAGTGAGAGGAGAGGATAGAGGGGAGGTCACTGGCAGACATCCACAGCCTCTCTCGCCATAGCAACTGCACTACGCTGCATTCGTCTATTTCTTAATGTACACACTTCTAACGTCCATACTTGCATGCCACATAGAATACATGCCCAAAACATTGCTTCATTCTAAGTGGTATGCAGTCCTCTGTAGCTCAGCTGGTAGAGCACGGCGCTTGTAACGCCAAGGTAGTGGGTTCGATCCCCGGGACCACCCATACACAAAAATGTATGCACGCATGACTGTAAGTCGCTTTGGATAAAAGCGTCTGCTAAATGGCATATTATATATATTATATTTATTTTGGAGCTCCTTACTCAATTTTTCTCATCCTCTCTTTTTTGGGTTTCTTTTCCTCTTTTCCCGCTCTCCCTCTCCTCTTTTCTCTCCTCTTCTCCTCTCCTCTCCTCTCCTGCCCTCCTCTCTCCCTCTCCTCTTTTCTCTCCTGTTCTCTCCTCTTCTCCCCTCCTCTCCTCTCCCTCCCTCCCTCCTCTCCTGCCCTCCTCTCTCCCTCTCTCTTCTCTCCTCTTTCCTCCATGTTTCTAGATTATGCCCTGCGTCATCCCAGTCAGCTGCTCAAATCCAGCTACTTCTTCTTCTTCCAGCTGCCTCGCTTCCCAGAGCTCATGCTCTCCATCAATGATTTCAAGGTGAAGCATGTTGCATGTGTTTGAGTGATCTCAAGGTGAAAAATACAGAACTGCTCCAGGCAACAGGAAGTTTATTTTGTGTGTGTGTGTGTGTGTGTGTGTGTGTGTGTGTGTGTCGAAGGGGAGGGAATTCTTGTTGTGATGGCTGTGCCTCTTTTTTTTTTTTTTGTAGCTATCATGAATATCAATGGATAATTAATAATGATTAACTATGTTACAATAAGGCAATCACATTGATCATGTCTAAAAAAAAAAGCTATGCATTCCCATATTTATTTTGTTCCAATATATACTGTAGGGGAGAGAGACGGTTGTCATCCATGATGTTATGCCTAAGTCCTTCTCAGTTGAGTGTAGGTCATCTCACAGTAGTCAACACAACCGCCATGGCATTTTCTAGAGCCTCATATGACCTGTATTACTGTGACAGTGACATAAGCGACCTTCTCTCTGTGTGCCATCCAGTTCCAATCACACCTTGAGCACATCCGGAGACACACATACTCACCCAGTGTGTCCTTCTGTCCCCTCTGTACTGTAGGCACTGAAGGGTCTGTTCACCAGCCGTAGTACAGGCATTGGGAGGAAGGGTCGATGGCTCACTGCAGAGGACATGGAGGCCTATCTCTACGCCTTCTCCCAGCCAGGGGCCCTCACCGGGGCCCTCAACTACTACAGGAATGTCTTCAGGTGAAGATTATGAACCGATGAAATTCTTCCTTAGTGAGCTCTGTATTTGGATGTCTCCTTTGGGCATACATAAGTAGGGATTTATGTATGACATGCCCAGTGAACATGTCGTAGCTGACCACCATTGTTGTGCCTCCTCATTTGAGATACAGTATTACTGCAAGCGCCTTATGATAATGTGAATCATTAGCGCCTTGTGTTGTAAATGCTGTTTTGATCAGAGTGCAATACTACAGTACATTCAATAAGAAGTTCCTCTTAGGAAAACTCAGTGGTTGTATAATAAGTCCCCTGGCTTGCCAGTGGTAAAGAGGTCTTGGAATCAGACTGCATGATGAGAAATAATTGGGCTTTGGAATAATGTATTCAGTTTGTTTTGTTGTATTGTTTGTCTTTGACAAGTTGACTCCTATAATGAATAAGACAAAGCCTGGATGATTCCGGGTTGATACAATTATTCCTCACTCACTCACTCACTCACTCACTCACTCACTCACACACACACAGCATCAGAGAGTACATGTGTTTTTGACATGTGAACTGTACATGCATGACTGACTTCACCATCTGCTCTCCTTCCTTAAGCAGCCAGCATCTCTCAGAACAGAACAGCATATTTTATTCTGCTCTGAATTATATAATAATAATGTCACTGACACATTATCAATTAGTGTGAGAAACGTGTTCTATAAATACATTATTCAATTAGCCTCTCCACAAGTTTACAACACAGGTAACATACAGTGGCTTGCAAAAGTATTCACCCACCTTTGCATTTTTCCTATTTTGTTGCCTTACAACCTGGAATTAAAATTGATTTTGGGGGGGGTTGTATCATTTGATTTACACAACATGCCTACCACTTTGAAGATGCAAAATATTTTTTGGGGTGAAACAAACAAGAAATAAGACAAAAAAACGGAACTTGAGCGTGCATAACTATTCTATAACTAGAGCCACCTTTTGCAGCAATTACAGCTGCAAGTCTCTTGGGGTATGTCTCTATAAGCTTGGCACATCTAGCCACTGGGATTTTTGCCCATTCTTCAATGCAAAACTGCTCCAGCTCCTTCAAGTTGGATGGGTTCCGCTGGTGTACAGCAATCTTTAAGTCATACCACAGATTATCAATTGAATTGAGGTCTGGGCTTTGACTAGGTCATTCCAAGACATTTAAATGTTTCCCCTTAAACCACTCAAGTGTTGCTTTAGCAGTATGCTTAGGGTCATTGTCCTGCTGGAAGGTGAACCTCCGTCCCAGTCTCAAATGTCTGGAAGACTGAAACAGGTTTCCCTCAAGAATTTCCCTGTATTTAGTGCCAGCCATCATTCCTTCAATTCTGACCCGTTTCCCAGTCCCTGCCGATGAAAAACATCCCCACAGCATGATGCTGCCACCACCATGCTTCTCTGTGGGGATGGTGTTCCCGGGGTGATGAGTGGTGTTGGGTTTGCGCCAGACATAGCGTTTTCCTTGAAGGCAAAAAAGCTCTGAGTACCTTCTTCCATATGTTTGGGGAGTCTCCCACATGGCTTTTGGTGAACACCAAACGTGTTTGCTTCTTTTTTTCTTTAGGCAATGGATTTTTCTGGCCATTCTTCTGTAGAGCCCAGCTCTGTGGAGTGTACGGCTTAAAGTGGTCCTATGGACAGACTCCAATCTCTGCTGTGGAGCTTTGCAGCTCCTTCAGGGTTATCTTTGGTCTCTTTGTTGCCTCTCTGATTAATGCCCTCCATGCCAGGTCCGTGTGTTTTGGTGGGCGGCCCTCTCTTGGCAGGGCGGCAGGTAGCTTAGTGGTTAAGAGCGTTGTGCCAGTAACCGAAAGGTCGCTGGTTCTAATCCCCGAGCCGACTAGGTGAAAAATCTCTCGATGTGCCCTTGAGCAAGGCACTTAATCCTAATTGCTCCTGTAAGTCGCTCTGGATAAGAGGGTCTGCTAAATGATTAATTATTATTATTATTATTGGCAGGTTTGTTGTGGTGCCATATTCTTTCCATTTTTTAATAATGAATTTAATGGTGCTCCGTGGGATGTTCAAAGTTTCTGATATTTTTTTATAACCCAACCCTGATCTGTACTTCTCCACAACTTTGTCCCTGACCTGTTTGGAGAGCTCCTTGGTCTTCATGGTGCCACTTGCTTGGTGGTGCCCCTTGCTTTGTGGTGTTGCAGACTCTGGGGCCTTTCAGAACAGGTGTATATATGCTGAGATCATGTGACACTTAGATTGCACACAGGTGGACTTTATTTAACTAATTATGTGACTTCTGAAGGTAATTGGTTGCAGCAGATCTTATTTAGGGGCTTCATAGCAAAGGGGGTGAATACATATGCACGCACCACTTTTCCATTATTAATTTTTTAGATTTTTTTTGAAACAAGTTATTTTTTTCATTTCACTTCACCAATTCGGACTATTTTGTGTATGTCCATTACATGAAATCCAAATAAAAATCCATTTAAATTATAGGTTGTAATGCAACAAAATAGGAAAAACGCCAAGGGGGATGAATACTTTTACAAGGCACTGTACATGGATACCACGTGAATACTAAACATCATGGGATTGAAAGTCTGCATTAAACCAGTTTTCTACTTCTCAGATGGGTTGCTTTTTAATGTGGAAAATTTGAATTTTCAGTTTACTTCCATAATTGACTGAGTAGAAATGGAATTGACCCCAAACCATTTCAAATCTGATCATGCTTTCTCCACAGGTAACATGGATAGCACATGAAAATATAAAACTCTGCTACATCATGATGGAACGCCAGTGTTTACTGTAACCAGTTTCATGCAAGCAACCCATCTCAGATCTGTATAGCACATCATATGATTGAGTTTAACCAGTTTTAAGCAACTCATCTCAGGTCTGTTATTAATATTCTCTCAACAGTTCCCTCCCACTGAGCCAGAATGATGTCAAGTCCCCGGTGTTGTTGTTGTGGGGTGAGAGAGATGCCTTCCTGGAGCAGGAGATGGCTGAGGCGTGCCGTGTCTACATCAGGAATCACTTCCGACTCAACATCATCTCCGGGGCCAGCCACTGGCTACAGCAGGACCAGCCTGACATCGTCAACACACTCATATGGACCTTCCTCAAAGAGGGAGAGGGCCGCAAAACCTACAGAAACTGAATCTAGCTAGGTGTGCATCCCAAATGGCACAATTCTTTCTATAAAGTGCCCTACTTTTGACCAGAGCCCTATGGGCCCTGGTCAAAAGCAGTGCACTATATAGGGAATAGGGTGCCATTTGGGACACAAGCTAAAACAGGGCCTCCACCCTCCTTCACTTCCCCCCTCCCTCCCCACCAGCCACCCCTACCATAGAACGGGGCCTCTTCCCTCCTACATTCCCTCCCTCCTTCCGTCCCCACCAGCCACCCCTACCACTGGAAGCCTGGAATATGCCTGTGAAAGACCAACCAATATAATGATAATGCAATCATTCTTTAAATCTTTGCACATTTCAGATATTTTTTTTAATGTCAAGCGAAAGTGAAAGAGAAAAAAAGCACATTTTATTGAGAGGACACTGAGTAGTACAGTAGTTTGACACATATTCAATACTTTTTTGCACATGACATCCGCCTTAAAGTTTGTAGGTTACAACATTACAAATGTGTGGCAAAATCTCCTTGTGAGTTTGTATTGTGTGGTGCCTTTTAACGTAATGTTGTATAATGTTTCGCGGCATTGTAAAATTGTGTCATGTCTTCTGAGGTTGAGCTGTGGCGTTTGTCTGCTATATGTGTCACTGGATTGCTCCTCTCTATTTTGGACACAATCCTTTGGGATCCCTCTTGTCCCACACCCTGGGTTCGTACCAAATGGCACCCTATTCCCTATTTAGTGCACTACTTTTGACCAGGGCTCTGGTCAAAAGTAGTGCACTTTACAGGGAATAGGGTGTTATTTGGGACGCGACCCCTCTATCAGGTAGTGTTGTCTTATGGAAAATATTGTTCTTTTTGTATTTTTTTGACTATTTGCTCAGATATTTGAGAAGGTTGTTATTATGAGATTCCTGTATAGAACAACAGTGATGGTTCAATATTGTACACTTTTTTTGTATCTATTCCTACACACTGCATTTTGAAATCCGCTGAGCCAGGTCTGCACCATTTTGATTTTTTAAGCAAATAAACTATAATGTGAAGCCTGGGGAGCCTTTGTCAATCTTTTTAACTGACCTACTGAATAGACCATTGACTGTATGGAAGACAGACACAACCTGACATAATTTGTATGCCTTCTTTGTCACAGAACCAACCCTGTCATTATATCAGAACATTATAAAAATTAGATTGGCCTGGTTTAAAGATGCCAATCCCTCTAGTTCAAAATTCTAAATAGTATACTGTTTCATTTATTTGTTAGGAGGGATCGAATGCAATATGAGCATTTACTACAAACAGTATGATATTTAATACCCATTTATATTCGCGCCTATTCATGCATTTATGGTAAAAGTACATCCTTTTACCTATGTCACCTGGCACAGCAAGCATGTTACTTGCAAATAAATTAAATTGAAATGGTATTAAAATATTGGGCTTGTTCGACATTGCAGCCGACAGTGCAGGCAACTGCTGACTGACTGATCTATTTACCCATGATACATTACTGATTTGATTCTCTCGAACACAGCCATTGGGCATGTTCGAGCGGATCAATTTTGTCAAGTCGGTGGCCATCGTTGGTCACCACATTCCAAAGAGTGTTGCATTATGGAGATAAAAATTGTCTGACTTGCGACTACATGACGACTAGATGAACTTTACAAAAACCATGTGATCGAAGGTCATGAAGTTTTGACTGCAGTTGCTCTTAACCAACTTCATTTACATTTACATTTACGTCATTTAGCAGACGCTCTTATCCAGAGCGACTTACAAATAGGTGCATTCACCTTATAGCCAGTGGGATAACCACTTTACAAATTTTTTTAAATTGTTTTTATTTTTATTATGTGTAAGGCAGGGTCGTACTCTCCGAATGTTGTAGAGCAGGGTGTTGTCCAGGGTCACGCCAAGGCTCTTCGCACTCTGGGAGGAGGACACAACGGAGTTGTCAACCGTGATGGCGAGATCATGGAACAGGCAGTCCTTCCCCGGGAGGAAGAGCAGCTCCGTCTTGCCAAGGTTCAGCTTGAGGTGGTGATCCGTCATCCATACTGATATGTCTGCCAGACATGCAGAGATGCGATTCGCCACCTGGTTATCAGAAGGGGGAAAGGAGAAGATTAGTTGTGTGTCGTCAGCGTAGCAATGATAGGAGAGGCCATGTGAGGATATGACAGAGCCAAGTGACTTGGTGTATAGCGAGAATAGGAGAGGGCCTAGAACTGAGCCCTGGGGGACACCAGTGGTGAGAGCACGTGGTGCGGAGACAGCTTCTCGCCACGCCACTTGGTAGGAGCGACCGGTCAGGTAGGACGCAATCCAAGAGTGAGCCGCGCCGGAGATGCCCAGCTCGGAGAGGGTGGAGAGGAGGATCTGATGGTTCACAGTATCAAAGGCAGCAGACAGGTCTAGAAGGACAAGATCAGAGGAGAGAGAGTTAGCTTTAGCAGTGCGGAGAGCCTCCGTGACACAGAGAAGAGCAGTCTCAGTTGAATGACCAGTCTTGAAACCTGACTGGTTTGGATCAAGAAGGTCATTCTGAGAGAGATAGCAGGAGAGTTGGCTAAAGACGGCACGCTCAATAGTTTTGGAGAGAAAATAAAGAAGGGATACTGGTCTGTAGTTGTTGACATCAGAAGGATCGAGTGTTGGTTTTTTGAGAAGGGGTGCAACTCTCGCTCTCTTGAAGACGGAAGGGACATAGCCAGCGGTCAAGGATGAGTTGATCAGCGAGGTGAGGTAAGGGAGAAGGTCACCGGAGATGGTCTGGAGAAGAGAGGAGGGGATAGGGTCAAGCGGGCAGGTTGTTGGGCGGCCTGCCATCACAAGTCGCAAGATTTTATCTGTAGAGAGAGGGGAGAAAGAAGTCAAAGCATAGGGTAGGGCAGTGTGAGCAGGACCAGCAGTGTCATTTGACTTAACAAATGAGGATCGGATGTCGTCAACCTTCTTTTCAAAATGGTTGACGAAGTCATCCACAGAGAGGGAGGATGGGGGGGGGGGGGGATTGAGGATTCAGCAGGGAGGAGAATGTGGCAAAGAGCTTCCTAGGGTTAGAGGCAGATGCTTGGAATTTAGAGTGGTAGAAAGTGGCCTTAGCAGCAGAAACAGATGAAGAAAATGTAGAGAGGAGGGAGTGAAAAGATGCCAGGTCCGCAGGGAGTCTAGTTTTCTTCCATTTCCGCTCAGCTGCCCGGAGCTCTGTTCTGTGAGCTCGCAATGAGTCATCAAGCCACGGAGCTGGAGGGGTGGACCGAGCCGGCCGGGAGGATAGGGGACATAGAGAGTCAAAGGATGCAGAAAGGGAGGAGAGGAGGGTTGAGGAGGCAGAATCAGGAGATTGGAGTGAGAAGGATTGAGCAGAGGGAAGAGATGATAGGATGGAAGAGGAGAGAGTAGCGGGAGAGAGAGAGCGAAGGTTGCGACGGCGCATTACCATCTGTGTAGGGGCAGAGTGAGTAGTGTTGGAGGAGAGGGAGAGAGAAAAGGATACAAAGTAGTGGTCGGAGACTTGGAGGGGAGTTGCAGTGAGATTAGTAGAACAACAGCATCTAGTAAAGATGAGGTCAAGCGTATTGCCTGCCTTGTGAGTAGGGGGGGACGGTGAGAGGGTGAGGTCAAAAGAGGAGAGGAGTGGAAAGAAGGAGGCAGAGAGAAATGAGTCAAATGTAGACGTAGGGAGGTTGAAATCCCCCAGAACTGTGAGGGGTGAGCCATCCTCAGGAAAGGAACTTATCAAGGCGTCAAGCTCATTGATGAACTCTCCAAGGGAACCTGGAGGGCGATAGATGACAAGGATATTAAGCTTCATCCTGCAGCCATTGCCTGCGTTGTGTGAGGCTCTATTGTCAACCAATCATTAGGGTGTTTTTATTTGACCCACATGAACGTGACCAAAGACATGAATGAAACAAGAACTAACTTTGCACAATTCATGTATACAGTGGACAAATTAATGGGCGCGTTTGAGTGGTTAGGTGAAAGTAGTCGACTGTAGACGGAAGTTGACGAGTAAAGTCAGGGGAATACATACAGTTGAAGTCGGAAGTTTACATTCACTTAGGTTGGAGTCATTAAAACTTGTTTTTCAACCACTCCACACATTTCTTGTTAACAAACTATAGTTTGGCAAGTCGTTTAGGACATCTACTTTGTGCATGACACAAGTAATTTGACACAAGTAATTTTTCCAACTATTGTTAACAGACAGATTATTTCACTTATAATTCACTGTATCACAATTCCAGTGGGTCAGAAGTTTACATACACTAAGTTGACTGTGCCTTTAAACAGCTTGGAAAATTCCAGAAAATGATGTCAAGGCTTAGGAAGCTTCTGATAGGCTAATTTACATAATTTGAGTCATTTGGAGGTGTCCCTGTGGATGTATTTCAAGGCCTACCTTCAAACTCAGTGCCTCTTTGCTTGACATCATGGGAAAATCAACAGAAATCAGCCAAGAATTGTAGACCTCCACAAGTCTGGTTCATTCTTGGGAGCAATTTCCAAATGCCTGAAGGTACCACGTACATCTGTATAAACAATAGTACGCAAGTATAAACACCATGGGACCACGCAGCCGTCATACCGCTCAGGAAGGAGATGCGTTCAGTCTCCTAGAGATGAACGTACTTTGGTGCGAAAAGTGCACATCAATCCCAGAACAACAGCAAAGGACCTTGTGAAGATGCTGGAGGAAACAGATACAAAAGTATCAATATCCACAGTAAAACGAGCCCTATATCGACATAACCTGAGCAAGGAAAAAGCCACTGCTCCAAAACCGCCATAAAAAAGCCAGACTATGGTTTGCAACTGCACATGGGGACAAAGATCGTACTTTTTGGAGAAATGTCCTCTGGTCTGATGAAACAAAAATAGAACTGTTTGGCCATAATGACCATCGTTATGTTTGGAGGAAAAAGGGGGGTGGCTTGCAAGCTGAACAACACCATCCTAACCGTGAAGCACGGGGGTGGCAGCATCAGGCTGTGGGGGTGCTTTGCTGCAGGAGGGGCTGGTGCACTTCACAAAATAGATGGCAT